TATGTATAAATATATATATATATATGTATACATATATATGTATACATACATATATATATATATAAATATATATGTATATATATATATATGTATACATATATATGTATACATATACGTATACATATATATGTATACATATATGTATACATATATATATGTATATATATGTTTACATCTATATGTATACATATATACATATGTATATATGTATACATATATATATATATATGTATACATTTATATATATATATAAATATATATATTTATATATATGTATATATATGTATATATATACATATATATACATGTATACATATATATCGAGTCACTTTATATTATTGGTATCGACATTTGCCCAACAATGATGTTCCAAATTATTAGTTGACATATGACTGTTCCAAATAGGCGGAACAATCTAACAACAGTTTCAATTGATGACAGTTTCAATTAATGGTGATTTTAGCTGATGTAAGAAACGAGTATAATAGCTCAAGATCAGTAGAGTGGTTATGATTCTTTCTTATTAAATAAACTATGTAATGTCTCCTCATAAGCATTCACTATAAAAGGGATCGTATAAATATTCCTAAAAGATAAAAAATAATTTAAGTTAAACGTATTTGATTTATGATATCAGATTATTGACTTGAGTATCAAAGAGATATTGTCGAGAATACCCCCGACTTAGTTTTATATGGTTCATATATGTGATTTAACAAGTTCTATCTTCTTAGTTCTATATGGTTCAACGAGTTCTATCTTGGAAGCAACCCGAACAGAGACTAAGTTAGATCCAACTTAGCTTACAACTCCAACAACTAAAATTTACTATAATTGTTTAGTGCTAGAATGAGGACCAAGCATGTCTCAAGAGAATTTTATAGGTCCTTCTCAACTAAATACCGAAGATCCGAACCTCCCAAACTCGAATGGTCTAAGCATGATAGCCTAGAATGCTCCTACCAAATCCCTCAATCCCATAATCCAGAATCCGATAATGTTGGGGATGTTTGTCGGTCTGAATCCATTTTCTATCCTCCACCCTGAATATCTTTTAGTGACTTTTTCAAAATCTGATCCTTCTCCAATCGCCTCTTGCCTCACCTACAACCATGACAATTTTCATAGAAACCTTCAACACCATACTGCAACAAATACATGTTTTAACAAAGATAGTCCAAAAGATTGCTTCTTTTCTATCACAACTTTCCCAACTTGCTTATTAAACCTCACTTACATTGATCCCATCAGTTCTGACACCTGTTCTACCATAAGTCTATGTTCCTAGTATGGTGGATGAATATTATTCAGCTCAGGCTTAAGCACCACATGAGGTACCTTAGCCGCCCTTAGCCCAAAACTATGTTCCTCCAATAGAGTCGATATTTTTAAACGAGTTGGTTACTAAATCAACCGACTTTCCAATTGAAGTTTAAGACCATCTTAATAAGATGGATCAGTAACTAGAGGATATTCACAAAGAAATTAAACAAGGCAAACAATTAGAGGTATAGTTGTACTTACGATCTCCCTTTACATGAGACATAAGTAATAAATTGATTTCTTAAGCTTTAGGCTTCCTGTGCTTGTCTTGTATGATGGAAAATTTGACTCATCCAAGCATACTACTGCATTTACCTCATAAATAATCCTCTATGACACTTCAAATTCTATGACATGTTGAATGGTTTAAGGGGAGTAGCCCTTGAATGGTTTGTTAAGCTTCTCCTAGAGTCCATCTTCTCTTTTAGACAGTTGGTAAAAGAGCTTGAGCTTATCTTTATCATATACGAGCTCCCAATAAAATCTACCACCTTCCTTTCTAATTGTCCATCAAGAAGAGGAGGAATCCTTAGAAAGTTATACAAGGAGATTTAACGATGAGTTTTGTCTAGTAGCAAACTCAACCCCTTTTATCCTTATCAACATATATAATAGTAACCTCTAACCTTCAAGGTTTTTTTACAAAGTTATTACCCAACTTCTAACGATTTTTTCAGAGCTTTTACAAGAGGCTAATTATTATATCATTGCAGAATCAACACTTGTTGGGAAGAATAAGGGTGAGCCTAAGATAGGCTGCATCCAAGTCCCATGGAGAGACTACAAAATACTTAATCAAAGGAAGAATGGGCACATCCCCAATAAGATTTCACACCACTCAACACTTGTCATATGAAAGTTTTTATGTAAATTAGAGAGAATAGACTCTTGCGGAACCCCTCATCCTTAAGGGCTCCATTGACAAGGAGAAATATGACTAAATATTATCAT